GGAGGAGAATTTTCTTGAAATGAGATCATTGTATGCAATGAGCCGTTTTATATTCGTAAAACTCCTAACAAACAACTATCAATATTAAGTTGAGCAAACATAAAATTGAGTATGATTTTTACTTCTATCAACTCAGTACCTGAATAGAATAAAATTACGAACACAAAAGTCTCATTGTACATGCAACGAACACATTAGGTGAATAATTGATTACTGTATTACCAGAAATAATTATGCACTCATAATCAAAATTTGAGGGGCGATATCATCTTAATTCAATAAACAGCACTGAAATATTGAACGAAGAACTTAAATATTGTTCATTTATGTACTGCTAGATATTGAAGACCCAAAATAACCAGACTGATTTGGATGCATCCATTCCAACGGAATCCTCACATTGTACTACTGTGACAGATTCGAAACATCGTATATCAAATTTAAAATGGAAAAATACCAAGAAAAACGGTTATTTAACAGGAAACGATCGCTTGGAACATGAATTGTTTAGACAATTACAAATCATATCAAAAGCTTACCAAACAATGAACACAAATCAACATTTATCTAATTCAGAAAAAGAAGACATTCAACATGAAATTTCAAATTATCTCAGATTTCTAGAGTGTCGATACCAAAGACTATTACTGTGAACATAAATACAACTAAGATTTCTTCTTAAGTTAGTTGCTATTTGTTAAAATACCTATTAGGGTTTTCTTAATGTAGCTCTATTGTTCAATTTTCTTCGGAATAATAAGTTCGTTTTAGTGAAATTACAAGATCGATTATTTTATGCATACCTACCTATGTAGGACCTTTAATAGTGAATATGAATTTTTACAACTGATCAATTGCACCGAAACAGAACATTTGACAGTATCTCATATAGATATATCATTAAATGATGCCCAATAACAGACGGATTTAATCTGGTCGTTTACGAATTCATAGCTGGAATAAATCAGTGATCTATAAATAGTTAATCTTCATTAAAAAGTGAAAACGTTTTCAGTTTATCGATGGAGAGTAGCATCTACAACTTAAATCTTATGTTTACTCATTCTTTTACGTACATAGATTTTCCACGTAGTGTAAATAAGTAGAACAAGAAGCTGTAGTTTTTCACTCTTTGTTTACTTACCTACTCCATCAAAAGTCCTGGAAAATTGGAGTTAATCGCTATGAGGCGTCGTATTGAAGTGAAATATAGAGATTTACTCAATTGTTGTTAACTATATCTATAGACAAATCGAAAAAATAAAGAACTAAGAGTTTGTGAGTCAAATGAAATATTTCACCTTCATTATAATGCAAACAACCTGACCTTTAATAAATGACCATAGTATTCAGTTAGTTACGTAATATTTTATCCACAAGCTTATAACAGCGATTAAAAAATTCAACTATTCGCTCATTGATTTCAGTCAGTTACGGGTATGAGGGCTGGTGTCACTTCCTGGCTGCCCACACCGTGGAAGGGTATTTCTTGAGGAACCTGAAAAGAATTTCGGATTAATGTCGGCCTTGACGGCCTGGGAGCGTGACCGCAGAGCCCTTGTGAGAAGGCAGCATTGCTGTAGATGGTGGTTGTCCGAGGGAAACACCTTGCTGCTGTCACACCCCTCTACAGTCAGCAGTACGACTTCGCCCTCAGACCTTGAGTTGCTGCTTTTAGTCTTACCGTTCTCCAATCGACCTGCCTGGCATGATAGAACCTACAGGAACATATGTTCCAGCTAATATAGCTCGGTTGGGTCATCACGATAGGCAAGCCCGACCACCGTGTCAAGGTAGTAGCTACTTCATACTGTTAAGATTGGGCCAGGGAAACAGAAATATACTACGTGGATAACCGCGCTCTTTGGTGAATGTTTACCGAATAATTATTTAATGAAACGCTAATACAGTAACAACTAAGCGGTCTTTTTTTGGCTAACCAGTTGCTTCCATATCTACTAACTAAATATTTGTCATTCCCATTCTTATTCAAAAACGTGTCAGTCAGCTACAACGTAGAACCAGGCACATATATGCATCGGTCCAAGTTGCCATACCTCATTAACACAACAAGATGGACACCGGATTCATAAAAGTAGTTAATTCAGAGGTGGTAACATATAAAAGAAAGATTGCAATATCCTTATTGCAAAACGTGCTAGTGCTTATGTAGATTTATTAATGATACACTTTGGTTTGCATCTTACTGATATAATGATTAGATAATGAGAAGATACTTCCGACTACTTTGGCTTATCGGTTGTATGATGAATACAGTAACGAAGTTTGTGGTCTTATTCTTAATGGCATATAAAAGAACTCCATACATACGTAATTATAATTACGTGTAGCAAAACACCTTAAATTAGGTAAATTTAGCATTCTTAATAATGACCTTACAAAATGTATGAAAATTTTTACTTAGTTTCCTCTTTAAAATTTGCCTATAACGTCAAGTAAGATCTAGTTTCCACCCTGGTGTCTTTACACGTCATTCTTTCTGCAGTTAAATTCTCTGTACAAGTCCATAGATATGATTAATGCATCTTGATATGATAAAAACATTACCTCTCTCTAACAGTTTTATTGTCAAAATTTGAAGTGAACATTTTGTAAATTTTTGATACGTTCGTACACTGTGCTAATAATTTCATTGCTCCGACTGTAAAGAAGATTGCTTCTATCCTCTAATTTTCCTTACACCACTAAATAGAGTAAAAGCATCAGTTTATTGGTTGAAGCTTTTTGATGTTAACCCAGTATAATCAATCCAAGTGCATTAAGTTTATCGGTCATAGATCAACAAAAATGACTAGCACATTCAAACTGAGTGATTATCGTTACCATAAATATCTTGAAATTACATGGACAGCGTTCACACTGAATAATTTACTGTAACGCAATACAAACTTAGTCGATATTGATTTGCTTTTCGTAAGTCGTAATCGGAGATTGCGCGTTCCTAACAATTGTTTATAATACTAAAATAATGATACAATTGTAATACTCTATCAAGTAAGAAATTTAATTTCCAACTTTAGCGAGTAATTTACCAGGTTGCTTGTGATGTCCCTAAAACAAATTTCTGCAGTAGTTGTAAAGAATATCTTCTAACATCGAATCTCCAACGTGCGTACGAACGATAATTACTGTAAGCAAGGGTTCACAGTTGGAAAGCTATTTCAGTAGACAGATTAACTTGTAGGATTCAAACAGCTGTTTATCGTTTCGTTGCATATAGTGTGGTAGAAAAAATACATTGACTGCCAAATGATAGTAAATGACAAATTTAATACCAAAAGGGAAGTAGCTTGCTAGACAATATAATCGGTTTACGGGACTAACTAGAGATTATCTGGTAGAATTAAATTCAATAGTAGGAGTTACTACAGCAGCTAGATGACATATAAGTAACTTAATGTATCAAGTTTATGTACGTCGAAATGCATTTACATATTTGTCGATGAGTTAAAACATTGAGCCTGATACAAATGTCGGTCAGCCCAAGTCAATATTCCATGTCAGCGAAATGAGATTAAATTAAAAAGTAGAGAAACAATAGTAGTATTAACGATGGTCACATAATAATAAGGAACACGGCTCGAGAACGGAAGAATTAGACAAGACGTATGAATTAATAGTGAAGCTCAAAACTCAAGGGAAGTGATACGTCTAGACACTGTAAGGTGTGATTGCCCAACCCATTCAATATATTTGTGTTATTATACACTTATCAATATCTGGATATTAATTGAGCGACTAGATAAATGCAACTGTAAGGACGTGGTTTGATCAAATCCCCAGTTATAACAGGAAGATAATGATTGGATATATCCGGGCCATTGTGGTTCCGAATCATATCATCCAACTTCTCCAATAACCGATGACATGGACTCGACCAGGTAGTCCGCATCCTTTAGTACGGATCAGGTACAATTTTAATAACTTCATAGTTTGATACCATATCTTTTTTGAGGCACCTCTATACATTAACCAGCCAACATTCCAAACCGGTGTAGGCGGTGGTTGGTCATATATAACACATCTCAGTTGTTCAGAATTCACAGCCTCCAACTAATTCACAACAACTGCCTAGTACCCCACACCTAAAGACAGAATTATTTACTACGCTATTCAGTGATACACGACCAAAGTCTCGAAGACACAGTTGATAAAAAAACGGTATATTACGCATGACTTCTATTCTATATTTCACAAAAATAAAGCAATCAAAAACTGAACCTGTGATTTTATCTTCTTTTAAACACCCGACGGTTATCTCTCAAACAACACAAATGACAATAGTTTGTAAAACCGAAGGAAATTTTTTATCCATGTTGAGATACTAATCCATCAAAGGGATTTCGTAACGTTCAGAGGAACCTCGTGAGACATTTCAGCTCTGTGGTCTCTAAAGCGTCCACCAGATTGCCATGTTTTTTCTGGCCAGTGATCACTGGCCCGTCAATGGGAACTTCAACTTGCAAAGCCCAGTCACAAGGCCCAGATGACCTAACGCTTAGATCTTGCTAAGGATACTGGACAACTTCTAGACCGAAAACTGAGTTGTTCGGGGAGAAAGCGTTTCAGCAACATAGAATAAGGCGATTGTCATTCTCATCTTTAAAAAGGGCTCCAGTCATCAATGTGACATGTATAAGGGGATAAGAATACTTCCGAATAATTGGCTACCATCATGCTCCGCAGATTATCTAAAGAAGAGTTATACGATTATGAGTTCACCTAGATATCCCAACAACCCTTCAAGCCAGTGATCGAGAATCTCACCGGTTTAATTCAAAGTTCGAGACCAATAATATGCTAGGACTACATGTATAACAACTTATAACGTAGGTCTATGCAGTTCAAATAGTAAGTAAAACACCCAAACAAAATATGCAATACCTAACATATGATGACTAGGCATTTTAAATGGACTACTGAAGGAATTTGACGTTAGCCAACCGCCTTCAACATTAGAAGTTGAAAAATTAGAAAACTGACGTTATACCCTCTGTTTTTAATGCAACGATGTGAACTTATTGCATACATTGAGAGCAAACCATAAGTTAACAAACCAAATGGGAATAGTAAGCAAACTTCAAAAAAGGATAGACTGTATATCGTTAAATGACTTCATTTGATATATCTATTATCAGGTAAGAAAACGTGTAAAAATACTGTCCACATATTGAAGAGTGAGCTGATGTAGGAAGGCCAGTTATGTTTCGAATATATATACACAGAACCAAGTGAATAGTTAACACCAAAATTCAAATACGTTAAGTTGTATGTACATGCAGACTCATTGATTAGCCAGAGCAGCCACGGCAACCGCAACTTTGACACTCAACAACTTTACCTTCTTCTAACTTTGACTTTGGTACTCGACATACGCAATTAGTTCCAAAATTGGTATCTCTAGATTGGATGCACCTTAAACAACATAAGTTTTCGTATCCTTGTTTTTTCCATTTGGCGATCAGATTTGCATCGGCTATCTTCTCTTTGATGCAGAATTCATACAGCTCCTGAGTTTATTAAGAAGATAATGAGTATGACCTACTTTAGAAATAGCTTTTCGTTTATAATACAAGTCATAAATGAACCGAGACCTCTTATGATGAATGCGAAATATTGGCCATTCAGCCTCAACCTTACGTTTTCCCTCATGAGGGTCAGTTTCAGCCTCACGCATCTTCCTGTTCAATTCTTCGATTGTTGGTTCGATCAACTCCCATCCTTCGGGTGGCGGCTTTTTACTCCTTCTATAAGGCGCCATTCCGATAAATCTGAAGACCCGCGTTCACATACAGTATACAATTAACTCTCAGTTCCAGGAGTAATGACTACATATCAAATCACCTATTTTAATCGTTGAGATTTATAGAACTTTGAGGATATAGTCTTATCCTAAACGCTCCAGAGCTTTCGGTGTTTCAATGGTGGTCTAGCTTAGATCAACTCATGAATTCAACGACTACTACTAAATTCTCCACAAACCCAATTCTGATAGGTATCAAATCTGTCAGTCCAGTTGAAAATTTGAAGTTATTATTACCTCATGCCATCATTAAATCTAACGAGTTTCGATTTCCAGTTTGACGGGTCCTTTATTTCTTATTCACAAGTGCTGTAATTTGCTGATTAGAGACGATAAATCTCCAATCCTTGATTTTCAGTCAGTGACCATTTCTAATACTTAGCAAATCAGGTTACATAGGCGAGCACATGAACGGTAGATGTTTAGCCTTTGGTAAATTTCGTTCATGTGATTCATGTATCTTTCGTCATGCTGAATGCCTAAAGTGTGGCAAAGTGAGGCTCATCAAGTCAGTTTGTGAAACCATTGTTCATTGCATCGCAAGTAATACTAAACACTGTTATTATAGCAATCAGATACTAACCTTATCCACAACACCGAGTAAATCACTTCGTATTCGAAACCGATTGTATTCATCCGGTGGTGATTTTCATGACATTATTGTTGACAGTGCCAGAATAATGTCCATCACTTCAGTTGGGAAGCTGAAGTCATTAAGTCTCAACGCTATAATTAAACTTATTAAGGTTCCCGTCTAGAATATCATAAGTCATAAACTTCCTATTCTCGAGTGTTGTGATTTGCTTGTAGCGGTAAATAAATCCCTAAAATAAATAGCTCTGTAAGTTTTCGACATTGGATGCTGACCATATGTTTTAGTGGACTCATCTAGCTGAAGGCGCTCGGTCAGGCATCTGCACCAGATCACGTGTGGTAACGCCGTGCTCAACATCAACCGCAATCGCTAGCCAGATTAGATCAGAGAATTCCGATATATTGGTCATCGCCAAATATACTCTTCCGATCTCCTCGACTCTGTCTTTTGATTTCTCTGGGCGGGAACGAAATATATTAGAAGGTGTTACTGGTAGAAGCGTTGTCAAACACTGAATACCTGTGACATCATCATTGGTGAGACCGTCGTGATCTGGTACACCTAATTGCAACTGTGAGTCTGTTCCTTTTTGGGATTTTTATATATCATTGCCTTATTTTTTTATTTTTTTAAACATTGTGATTTTTTTTTCGTGTTTTTTCCTGGATATATATATTTTCCCCTCGTTCATTATCGTACTTCATACTTCATCATGACTGAACAGACACCTAAAGTACTCAAGCTTAAGACTTTGTCCCCGCCTTCGTTTCAACTGATGCCTTTCTGGCCCGACAACATCGAAGCCTGGTTTTGCTACGCAGAAGCTGACTTTTCCGAGCACGGCGTGATCGACACACGTGCACAATTCCTCGCAGTAGTCAAGGCACTACCGCGCGAATTCAACAGGTACGTAACACCTAGTATGTTTACTAATGATGTTTCCGATCCTTACGAAATCTTAAAACGCTCGATTCTTAAACGAGGAGACCTAACCGATCGACAAAGGTTAGATCAACTCTTCAACAATATCGACCTGCAACACGGTTCAGCGACAGACATGTTGCAACGGATGAGAGAGGTTATAGGCCTAAGAACTTTCGACGAAGGCCTATTCAAACAACTCTTCTTGTCAAAACTTCCCCAACAGGTGCAAGCAGTTCTGGTCTCGTTCCAGAACAACGCCTTAGACGAGCTAGCTGCATCTGCCGACCGCATTTTAGAAATTACGAAATCTACTACCGAGGTATTTTCAGTCAAAGAAAAACCTCAAACGACTCAGAATGATATAAACGACTTATGTCACACACTCACGCGTTATCTTAGTCTTCGTACCGACCGTAAGAGATCGCGCACACCACGTAGAAGCATTTCTCGTAAGCGATCTGTCTCTAGACCACGAGAGACAGATAACCCCGACTGGTGCTGGTATCATAACCAGTATGGAAAGTTTTCCAGAAATTGCAGGAAACCCTGCAATTTTCCCAACACGAAACCGACTGATTCGAAAAGCAATTCGGGAAACTTCCAAGCCGGCACGCGTTAACGGCAACCGTAGCCGGCGAACAAAGCCGTCTGTTATTCGTCACAGATGTGACAACGAGAGTTCGCTACCTCGTCGACACTGGCGCAGAAGTTAGCGTTCTCCCAGCAAAGCCTAACGACCGACTACACGAATCGACCCTAAACTTACAGGCGGCAAACGGAAAACCGATCGCTACGTATGGCAAAAGGTACGTTTACCTTAACGTGGGTTTACGCAAACCCATCCACTGGATTTTCGTTGTTGCAGATGTTTCTATGCCAATCATTGGTATGGATCTTCTACAACACCACAATCTGATCATCGACACGCGCAAACGGAGGCTAGTAGACGGGAACACTAATTTGTCCGTTTGCGTAACTTCTTTTACTGGTTGTAGAGTATCCCCAGTCACAGTTAAACATATGATAGACCCACTCTATCAACCACTACTCGATAAGTACCCTGAGATACAACAAACTCAAACGAAACTACCGTGTGTAACCAGCAATGTTACACATCACATCACGACTACAGGACCACCTGTATTTTCTAAAGCACGCCGACTAGCTCCTGAAAAGCTAAGGTTAGCGAAAAACGAATTCGATCACATGATGGACTTAGGAATCATACGACCGTCAAGTAGCCCATATGCATCTCCGTTGCACATGGTCCCTAAAAAGGACAGCAACGATTGGCGTCCAACTGGTGACTATCGGCGATTGAACGCGAAAACCATTCCCGATCGTTACCCGTTGCCTCACATTCACGATTTGACAGCCACCTTGAAAGGTACAACTGTCTTTTCGAAAATCGACTTGGTTAAAGCGTATAACCAAATCCCTATGGCTACTGACGACATACCGAAAACGGCTATCATAACTCCCTTCGGACTCTATGAATTTTTGCGAATGCCTTTCGGTCTAAGGAATGCTGCTCAAACATTCCAAAGATTCATAGACGACGTTTTTCGAGGCCTCAACTTCGTACACGCGTATGTTGATGACTGTCTAATCGCAAGTCCGGACAGAGAAACACATCTCAAGCATCTGGATCTTGTTTTCGAACGACTTCAAAAACATGGCATAACTGTAAACGTTCAGAAATGCCAATTCGGAACCGACTCGTTAGACTTCCTAGGACACACTATCGATGCTCAAGGCATTCGACCTCTTAGGACCAAAGTGGCGGCCATTCTGGATTACCCAGAACCGACCACCGTCAAGCAGTTGCGCACGTTTAACGGCCTGGTAAGTTTCTATAGACGTTTCATACCCAAATGCGCATTACTTATGAAACCTCTGACCGACCAACTTCGTGGAAATGCGAAATCCATTAATTTGGACGACACCGCACGAAAAGCATTCTCCACAGTTAAGGAACTGATTGCTAAAGCAACAATGCTCGCACATCAGGACACCCGAGCACCCATTAGCATCGCAGTAGACGCATCCGACTCAGCAATCGGAGGAGTCTTACAACAATGGGTTAACAACTCCTGGCAACCCTTGGCATTTTTCTCTAGAAGGTTGCTAGACACCGAATCGAGGTACAGCACATTCGGTAGGGAACTCCTAGCTATGTATTGTGCTGTACGGCATTTCCAACACTACATCGAAGGTCGTGAATTCACTCTTTTCACGGATCATAAACCGCTTACTTTCTCGTTAAGCTCTCCTTCTGACAAGTACTCCCCCCGTGAGTCTCGACAACTGGACTACATTTCGCAGTTTACTTCAGATATTCAACACGTCTCTGGAGCAAACAATGTAGTTGCAGACGCTTTATCTCGTATAACTTCCTTGAACAGTTTCCAAGGAATCGACCTTCTTAAACTCGCCGAGCTTCAAAAAGAAGACAGTGATCTTCAGCACGAGTTATCGTCCACAACACTTAAACTACGCATCAAACAGATGGGAACAGGTAAGGAAACCTTACTTTGTGACACATCTACAGGTAGGGATCGCCCAATCGTGCCGAAACATTATCGACGCAATGTCTTCAACACATTGCACAAACTTTCGCATCCAGGTGTTCGTGCAACCATCAAGCTTATAGCAGAAAGGTTTTGCTGGCCTGGAATGAATAAAGACGTGAGGGAGTGGGCACGCTCCTGTGTAAGCTGCCAAAAATCTAAGGTTATAAGACACAATAAATGTCCCTTAGGCTCGTTTAAAACTCCCGATGCTCGTTTCGACCATGTTCATTTGGATTTGGTAGGACCTTTACCAGATTCAAATGGATACTCTTATCTCTTAACCTGCGTAGACCGTTTCACTCGATGGCCAGAAGCGGTACCTATCAAGGACATCACTGCTGAAACAGTGGCCCGCACCTTCGTCGAACGATGGGTAGCAAACTTTGGCTGCCCTTCAACCATCACTACAGACCGCGGACGTCAATTTGAATCTGATCTTTTCCGTCGTCTGACCACTCTTTTAGGAAGCACTCGCTTCCGAACGACCGCCTACCATCCACAAGCAAACGGGTTGGTAGAACGTTTTCACCGACAACTGAAAGCTTCGCTATCAGCTGCAAACGTTTCACAGTGGACCGACGCTCTTCCACTCGTCTTACTAGGTATCCGCAATGCAGTGAAAGCTGACATTGGATACACTGCGGCTCAACTCGTTTATGGTACGACACTTCGACTTCCAGGAGAATTCGTGGATCCTTCATCCTCTTCAATGAACATGGATCTAACCTCCTACACGAACAGGCTTACAAACGCAATGCGTTCAGTTAAACCTGCTTCCACTCGACCACAATCAACTGATGTTTTCGTTCAACCTGACTTACGATATAGTACACACGTTTTCGTTCGTCGAGACTCGCATCGACGACCATTCGAATCAGCATACGAAGGACCCTT